AAGGCTGAACGCGTGGCGGCGCGAGGCGGTGGCCTTGGCGGCGGCGGTGGCGTGGCCACGGACAATTTGAGACCGATCGGTCCCGTGGCGTGAACCGCGTTTAAAGTGTTCGTAATGTAAATTGAGTGTATATTGTTGAATAAATTAACGAATGAGCGGTGTGAGTGTTTGTAAATAAATGCGGACGTAGGAGTGAGGGTAACAGTGAATGAAAATAATTAATTTAAATATACGACCATTAATGAATTACCTGTTTTAGTATTATTCTCAGGGCATAGAACACATGCGTCTTTCTATCTACTTGTACGTTATAGATATTTTAGTTATTACTTTTAAGATTAGATCATGGCTAGGAAAATAATTTTCCCCCCGCATCTACTGCAGAAGCTAAAAGTGTTGGTGGATGCGCGTACATTGCATCTTCTGCCCTTGACGTAAATAGATTCTCCCCTCCCCGCCAAGGAAATTCGCAAGGGAGTTAAAAAGATAATGCATAGGTTTAGGTTGATACAAGGTTCAAGCAGAACAACACATTCGTTTCCACAGCCACAGGTCCTGTCAAGTTCGAGTGGGAAGGAATGATCTCCACCCCAAATATCAAGATACTATTTTACAAGATACCGACTACAGCAAACTGGAGGACATTTATTACTTTGCACTCATGGCTTCAATTTTACAGCAAGCATGTCTGGATCGTGGGCAAGGCAACTACCGTAGTAGAGTTGGCGGGAATTGTATCCAGAGAAACTTGCACAAAATTTAAAGGTAGAACTCGCTCCGAAGTGACGCGCATTACCTTGTCAATCTGTCGAAGAAGTTGACAGATAGTGCGCCAAACTTTGCTATATTATTTCCCATTTTCCCATTAAGCAAAAAAATACATAAAAATGTAATAATACATCAATCAGATTTAAATTTATCAATTGCAAGTAATATTAACCACTTTGAATCAAAAGTATCTTATTTTTGTAATCGTAAACGTAAATTATTTTTTGCGACTCTACATTTTGTATGCTCTTTTATATGACCATCGCGAATTTCGATTTGGTTTGGAGGCACTTTTCACCGCCGTATCCGGATGTACCCTTAATTTCACATTATTGGTATTTACAAGAAATAAAGGAGTGATTTACGAAACATAAACAAACGAAAAAGGGGAATAAATTCTCCATTGAAATATGTTAATGTGTTTTTGCAAAAACGTTTGAATTTTTACAATTTTGCACCATTCTCTTAAACATTCTTCACAATATCCAACAATAGAATTTAATCAAAAACGGTGGAGCCATTTTTGGAAAATTTTAAAAATGAAACGTACCTCCCCCCAAATTAAAATATTGGTTTCAAATTCAAAAGCGAGATCGATTGGGGAAAAATAATTCTGGAGAAAATCGAGTGAATGGTTTAGCCAGACGTTTTGCCGTCATTCGATTTTTCGGCATCAAGGACTTACAAAACATGGATTCTGGCTACAAAGCGTGTTTGAAGATTTTTTTCTTAATCTGGCAACTGGATTTATCTACTTTTTCGTTAACAGGCCCTTTGAAGAGTTTTTGTGCCTAAAATTCGCCTTTTTTTCGCGCTGCATTATGTAACTTTCTCTCTACTTCGTGAGCGGCAAGGTGAAAGTGAAATGATGTGCAACGCACGTGCAATGAACTGTTTGTATTCTGGGCTTGTTTTCGTGCGGTCCGAGCGTTTGAGGCGAAGGGTGTCCCTTGTCAGTTGCACGAGCTATTCTGGCCTCCCGGAGTGAAAGAGATTTGGTATTCCCGTCGAAGAGCGAGCGTTCAGCAGGGTGGGGTGCGGGCGGGGAGCGGAGGTACGGCAGGTGGCCCAAGAGACGGGTTATGGGGGACTGGCCTGCACGTGGCGGGCGTGCGAGTAGGCAGTCGCGCAACCAGGGGGACGGAATGACTCTGAGAACGAGATGAAGGGAAGCCATAAAATTTTCATTGGTGAAGAGATTGTTTGGCTAATATTTATTAACTTGCTTTAAAAGAATAAGAAAATGGAGGATGATAATATTAACTAATATATGCAATTTACAGAATATTCGTTTCAAAAGTCTCTAGAGCATGCAGA